CCTTTGAGACTAACAGAAGTACTGGGAGCATAAGCTTTCGTGGGGTAAGAACCTCACTTCTTGCATCTGAAGAAGTGAGGTTCTTACCCACGAAAGCTTATGCTCCCAGTACTTCTGTTAGTCTCAAAGGTGCCACAGGACCCTCTGTTGCTTTTTACAGATTCAGACTAACACGGCTACCCCTCTGATACTTGAAGAATATATGGGAATATTGTACCTAGAGTCTGTTGCATTTCCGTAACCAGTAATGTTACAGAGCATCACACCCATCAGCCTGGAATCAATATGTAGCCTACAGTCAATATCCTATTGATATGTAAGAAAGATGGACAAGAAATGTGTCTTGGTGAAATGTAAATGATGAGCAAAACTATTAAGGAACATTAGGGATGATCACTGTGCAACTTGTACGTATGACTTCACACTACTACTGGCTGCTATTGGCTGAATTCTTTCTTGTTCCTTCACTAAAAAATCTGCATATCTACCAAATTTGTTTACATTCACAGTGCTGTCTGCATTAGATTAATCTTCTGCTTCTTCCTCTTCTTCTTTTGCCTTCATTAGCACTATACTGTTTCCATCAGAACCTCAAACTGAATAATTTTCTTAAATAAAATGTCTCTATGCTGTAGGGGAAAATATAGAAAAGTGCTGAAAATTTTATCAGTATTCATTTAGATCCTTATTGTTTGCTGCCAATTGCTACAGAAAATAAATGTTAACCTATTGATAGCTCAGAATTTTGTAAACTTCCCCCTCCTTTTTTGGGGGGGCCTTACTTCCCCTAACGATAGTATACATATCTAATGAGCAACAGCCAGCATTAAGCAAAGACTTCTGGATAAATAGGTAAGCAGTTTAATTTCAAATTGACTTTACATTGCTAAGCAAAAATTTTACCTTGTGACTGTTAAAAATGTCATTTTTAACTTTTAAAAATTGGGTGAAATGGGTGTTAATGAAAGTGAAGGATCAATAGCATTGTGGTACTCAAACTTCCCAACACAGCTCTGTCAATTTGCCTCATTCTCTGCCTGCATCACTCCTACTAGTTCAGTCCTTGCACTTATCTGAACAGAGAATGCTGGTGTGACGTTGTGCAGTCTATATGGTTTTATAAAAATATGATAAGTGAATATAATGTAACTGGGATGTGCTTCATGCAAAAGGCCTCTTGTAAGGTATCATTACAAAGCTTATGATCTACTGAGCGTAATCATCCTATTTGTATAAATGTACCACTCTAGTTTTAGATACAAGAAATATAAAATATAACTCTGAGGGCCTATTGTAATTATGCAAAGTGTGGGCCATTAACGGTGGTTTGGAATCTTGATGACTCCCATTAACCAGGACCATTGTCTGCAGATGGATGTGTTTACTTGTGAGTCTTCCTGTATGTGTGTGTGCTGGCAAGTGGGTAATGAAGTCTTGCAGTGACTTGTGATCATGTTACCTGAACTAGAATCCATCTTTAACCTGGTGCTTTTCCGGGGGTGTGGAAACCCCGAGGGACAAAGGGTTGCCGCCTCATGCAAAAGATATATAAAGGGGTGGAACAGAACAAAGGGGGGGAGGAAGGAGCCATCATGAAGAATGCCCTAGCTACCACCTGAGCTGGAACAAGAGCTGTACCAGGGGAAACAATTGTGCCCAGGCCTGGAAGGTATCCAGTCTGAGGAAAAAACTTACTAAAGCATCTCTGAGGGTGAGATTATCTGTATTCAGTTTGATTAGACATAGTTTTGCGCATTTTATTTTATTTTGCTTGGTGACTTACTTTGTTCTGTCTGTTACTACTTGGAACCACTTAAATCCCACTTTCTGTATTTAATAAAATCACTTTTTACTTATTAACTCAGAGTATGTATTAATACCTTGGGGAGCAAACAACTGTGCATATCTCTCTATCAGTGTTACAGAGGGCAAACAATTTGAGTTTACCTTGTACAAGCTTTATACAGGGTAAAACGGATTTATTTGGGTTTAGATCCCATTGGGAGTTGGGCAGCTGAGTGCTAAAGACAAGTACACTTCTGTGAGCTGTTTTCAGGTAAACCTGCAGCTTTGGGGCAAGTAATTCAGACCCTGGGTCTTTGTTGGAGCAGACGTGAGTGTCTGGCTCAGAAAGACAGGGTGCTGGAGTCCTGAGCTGGCAGGGAAAACAGGAGCAGAGGTAGTCTTGGCACATTGGCTGGAAGCTCCCAGGGGGTTTCTGTGATCCAACCTGTCACAGCTGGTCATACCAAATCATACCCTGATTCAGAAAAGTACTTAAGCACACACTTGATTTAAGCACATGGGTAGTCATACTTCAAATCGGGCATCTGCGTAAGTATGTTTCTGTACTAGGGTCCATAGCAATAAAGGGACAAAAGACTTCTAGTGGCCAGAATGTTCTCACAGCACATTAAGCCATGGGACCCTTGGTCTAGCTGGATAGAGAAAGTGAGTTGCCCCATTTAACTGCAGGGATGGGGCTTGTCCAGCAGGCTGCTGGGAAGGGAGTCATAGCCCCCTTTAAGGCCTCTGCCCACCCAGAGAGGATTGCTGGATTCCAGGTAAAGAGACAGAAAGACGTATAGCTAGAATAGGTTGTGTGGGGGAGGGATGCTGTCCCTTTCCTCCCCAGCTGACCAGATACAGGGCGGGATTATACCCAGGACAGTCCCAGGAAATTCCTATTTAACCCAGACTAGACCAGCAGCACCCACCCTCCCACCCATTGGCGTAGTTAAATTACCAGCTTTTGTCATTATACGTCACAGGTATGACACTAGTTGCCCCTTTTCTTGGGGCTTTGGGAAGGAATTTTCCCTCACTGCCACATTGGGCAAGGCGAGGTTGGCTTTTTGCCTTCCCTAGAGTGAGTTACGGACCTGGTGGGGTATGGATGGGGGAAGGGAGTTAGGCTATAATGCTGCAACTCATTATGTAAGTTTGTGCAGGTACTCTGTATGGAATGGATATGGTGATCAGATACAATTAATTGGTAAAGAATTTAAATGAGACATCCTTTAAAGGGGAGGAGAAAGAGGGTTCAGGGCTCCTACACTTGGTATAGGAGGAAGTCAACCCCACTTTTTCTAGCTCCCCTTTACCCTTATACAAGGAGGAATGGTGGGGTCTCAGCAGCAGGAGGTATGGGACCAGGATTGGAAAGGGGAAAGGCTGACAGCTGCTCCCCAGGAATATGGAAATGCATATGAAACCACCTGCACTGCACCGGGTACTTCCACATATTTAAGAATAAAGTTTCAGCCCATTTAAAACCACATCCAGTGCCTCCGGCATAGCCGGACAATGTGGTCACAATGAGATTTCATTTGTTCTTCTATCAGGATTTTGAATATAATTCCTAGAATTGAAAGTTTAAAAAAACAACAACACTGAATAGAGGCAATCATATCTTACTCATCCTATGTAGTAAGGGATAGAATCTTCACAAATATTGCCAAAAAGGATTCACGAACACAAAGGCAATCAATCAATTTGCTTGTGATGGCTTTTCCCAAATTTTATTCAATTTTCACAGACGTTCACATGAAGCAAGTTTTGTTTGCAAAACTGTTTGTGAAAATGTGAACATTCATGTGGCTATATATTGATACATAAATACTTGTATACATTCTAATGAGGATTCACATCAAAAGTGAGCCCCATAATAATCTTGAAAGCTTTTTTGGATTTAGAAGTCATTTGGTAAGGAAACAAACAATTCCATGTGACTTAGGTGACCAATCACACATATCAAATAGGAAATCAAGTATACAGATTACTCAAACCATTGTTCATGAATGAAACATAGGCTGAAATATGTCTGCACAAGCCATTAGTCAAATTTTGAATAATAAATAAACTTGTAAAAATTGAAGGCTGTTCACAAATAGAGGGACTAAATCTGTTGTATAAATTATTCCCTACTCTATTATTAATTATAAGTATACAATAGTAGTGACTACAAACCTCAAGCAAGTTGGGGTGTTATTTTACTAGGTACTTTATGCTCAGTTCTGGCGTGTGTGAGGGAGGTCCTTTATTTAACAAGAAATTTAAAAAAGGCTATGCCTTTGTATGAATCTACAAAAACTGTGCAT